GGGAAAGATTTTGAGACAACAAACGACAGACTCATTGTGGAAAGAATACGTAACAAGAAAGGCAAATACTAAAAAATTGACTGACAGAGCCAGAAAGATGGAGAAAAAAATGAATTAGTAAACAACAGAGAAATGGAAGAGAAGTTAGTCATATGGAGACAGAGACTGTGAGTAAGAAATACAGAAGAGGGCAGAAGAAAGGGGACTCAAAAAAGAAGAGGGACAGTTCTGACCTTACCAAGTCCCAACCATTTTCTAGAATCCTAGCCTCCAGCGGGAAGGCCATAGGGACTTCAGCTTCTCTTAAGCTGCAGATCTCAGTCAGGTTCTGAATCTCAAAGCAATCAACAGGTGGCTTCACTCCAGCTCAGCTAGGCTCCTCCTTACCCAATCCTGCTCTGTACCTTGAGGGCAAGGAGAGGTGGAGCAAGAGGAGAGGAAAGTCAAGCAGAAAGAACAAAAATAGAAAAGCAGGTGACAAGGAAAACTAAGTTGTAAGAAGCATTAGGAATTATAAGAGAGAAAAGGCAGGAGTCATAAAAAGATGCAGAGAATGAGTTACAGCAAAAAATAAATAAATACATCTGCAAGAGGAAAATAAAACAGAAAAAAATGAGAGAAAGAAATGGGATAGGAAGAAGTCTGCTTAAAATATGGATTTGTTTAGAGACAGAAACCTGCCATAGGAAAGCAAGACTACAAGTTCACTTAATAAAGTTTTAGTAATACCAGTAAAAAGCTGAGATGTTATATTAACAACTTCATATTAGTGTTTGTCATAATACTAATAATTTCTTAAACATTCTGAATCCAAAATTCCCACCAGAAATATTGTTATACTAATGTTAAAATAGCAACTTTGTGCAAAGCAGTGTGTTATGTAAGATATAAATAAGATACAGACCCAGTCTACTAGGAGTTTATACTAGAAAAAAATTACCTGAATATGAAAAACTAAAATGTTCTGCAAACAGTAATAATATACACAGTGGCATTTAAACGGGATTTGAAAGGACTGGTAAAATTTGGTTGAAAATTGGGGGAAAGATAAAGACAGAAAGAAAAATATACATTTAAGGGCCAGCAGGTGGTGTTATGGTTAAGGTGCTGAACTCTTTAACACATGGTCAACTGTGGTTTGAATCTCAGACCTGGAAGTGTTCTCTCTCTCTCTGTATCTCTCTTGTGAGCACATATGCCCTAAAGCAAATTAAATAATAATAACAAATAAAATTAAATAATTCTTTAGAAAAACAGAAAAAAATACACTTATGTAGTCATATATCTTTCATCTAGCCATACTTTCATATATTCTACAAATATTTATTGATAAAAAAAACTTGATCATTTGCATGGGTACAGTAATTTAAATACATGCCTACTTTATTCATGTCAGGGTAAGATTATAGTCTAGAGTGGAAGACCAGACATTGTCAAGTGGAGGTAGGTTCTAATACTTGACTTAATTAGATAAGCAAATAAATAAAAATACAGAAGGAAATGTATGGATCAGAAATACCTAGCATAAGGTCTTGAAGAAGGTTTTAAAGACTGCTCAAAAATCTATCTAACAAAGGTGAGGAGGGTAATGACAGTTTCATCAAGTGATTAGAAAATGCTTTTGAACAAAGGACTCTTGTCTTAGTCAAAAACAAATCTCAAACTGTTCAGAGAACAGCTATGCCAAATTAATCTGCTGTTCTTGACAGGAAAATCACCCAAGAAGTTTTCTCTTTGGGATTTCTTTTAAAATGTCTATATCACGGGAATCAGCAGTTAGCGTAATGGCTATGTCGCTGGACTCCCACATAGTCGACCGCGGTTCGCATCCCGGACCCGGTGGCTTAAAACTCACGCCGGGCGCGTGTGCGTGCGTGCCCAAGATCCCAAGAGGAAAATGGAGGAGAAGGGATTGCGGCGTGACCATCGCCCCTGGGGGGTGATTTCTCGCTTCCTGTCTCTTTGTCTCTGTCTGTCTGGCGAGCACACGCACCCTATAGCGAAAAAAAATCTCTCCAAGAAAAAAGAAAAAAAAATGTCTATATCACCTATCAATACTGGGGATTTATTTTTCAGTTTTTCTGTCTAAATAAATCGCCTGCCTTCTGAATATTCAACATTTTCCCCATTTGAAATATCTTTGGAAACCTAACCTTGACATTCTTCTTTTCTACAAGGGCTAACCCAAGTTTAAATGATGAAGTAGGTGATACTTATTTCCAATTTTCCTTTCTCCTCTTTTTAGTAAAAAGCTTTTCATTAAGTTCAAACATATCCCAGCTCTCATGTAATGTAATGGACTACAATGTATCACAAATAAATTGAAGTTAACAGATAATCACTAAACTTCTACCATGGGTGAGTTACTCAAATGAATAGTCATGACAAATATTCATGTACTGAAATATTTTTATTTAAGCAAACATGTTTCTAGAAATAATATTTAATGATTTGTAGTTTTTTAAAAAAGCTGCCTGGGGCCAGCATATAGCATGGTGGTTAAGGCGCTGGACTCCCACATGACCAACCATGGTTCTAGTCCTGGACTTTGAGGCTTAACTTTTTCATTTTCCCTTTTTTCTCTCTCTCTGGTCAAATTAAAAAAGTAATGATAGTAATAATAGGTAAATAAAATACTTTTTAAAAAATCTGTCAATTATCAAGTATTTTTTATGTGTAACGCCCTATGCTAAGCATTTTAATCCATAACACAATCTTTGAAATAAGAAGTGGTATTGTCCCCATTTTATAGATGAAGGAACTGAGACCATAAAACTTGTCACTTCCCTAAGGTTACAAAGTTATCAAGGGACTTGTATATAAAATATATATTCTTACAACTCAATAGAAAAGAAACCCAATATTGGAACCAGCAGTTGGTGTAATAGTTATGTGGTTGAACTCTCATATAGTCCACTGCGGTTCGAGTCCTGGACCCAGTGGTTTAAAATCATGCCAGGTGCATGTGTGTGCACAGACATCTGCCCTGGGGGATGATTTCTCGCTTTCTGTCTCTTTCTCGTGAGCACACGTGCCCTATAGCAAAAACCTCTCAAAAAAAAAAAGCCCAATATAAAAATTTACAAAGTATCTATTTTTATTTATTTTTTTAGATTTTGCTATAGGGTATATGTGATTGCCAGAGAGAGAAAGAAAGTGACAAATCACCCTTCCCAGGGAGATGGCCACACCGCAATTCCTCTCTTTCATTCTCTTGGGATTTTGGGGATGGACACACAGATACCCCGTGTGATTTTCTTTCTTTTTTAAAGGTATGGAGGAAATTTTATTTAGCTTTGAGAAGTTTTACTTTCACAATATACACACTCTTGGTACAGAAAAGCCCTGTTAAATTTTACAAATTGCTAATATATTTAGATTGATTTATGAGGCTTTCAGACATTAAGTATGAGAAAGTTAATGGTTATCAATTAGGATTTGCACACATGATCACAATCAAAATGGTAAAATAAACCGGGAACCAGCAGTTAGTGTAATGGCTATGTTGTTGGACTCCCACGTAGTCAACTGCGGTTCACGTCCCGGGCCCGGGGGCTTAAAACTCACACCGGGTGCGTGTGCGTGCGTGCCCAAGATCCCAAGAGGAGAATGGAGGAGAAGGGATTGCGGCGTGACCATCCCCCCTGGGGGGTGACTTCTCGCTTTCTGTCTCTCTGTCTGTTTGGTGAGCGCACGCGCCCTGTAGCAAAAACCTCTCCAAAAAAAAAAAAAAAGGTAAAATAAACCAAAGAATAAAGTTTAACAACCCCCAAAACATAACTGTAATTTCTAGTGAAATATTTATTCCTATCCTGAATTCATTTTTTTCATTTTATACTGACATTTTAAAGAAGTATAGATTACATAAAATCTTTTGTTATCTTCTCAATCTTAACAGTGACCACTTATTTTGTCTCTGCTATTTTCTGTCTTTGAGAGTATGATACACTTATTAAGCTAGTTATACTTTAGTAACTTTGCAAATGAAAAGAAGTTAGAGAAGAATAAATAATAATTACTTCACTGATTCTCATCCAAATTCAAGAAAATCATAACCCTAAAATAGCAATTCTGCCTGGTAAATTGTTTCCATGCCTAAACAGAAATAGAAAGAAAAGTGAAATCATGAGAATCCTATGATAGGTTATTAGACACTGTGTGCTTTTAATAGTTCAAAACAGATGATATTTGATAATCAAGAGTAAATTAATAGGCTAACATTTAAAAATGTATACTTTAAAAAATAATTATTTAAATTTTTACTTATTCATTCATTTTAATTTGACTAGAGAGAGACACAGAGAGAGAGGAAATGCGAAAGCAAGCCACCAGGTCCAGGACTCACCATGGACAATCATGTGGGGGTGTCCAGAGCCTTAACCACCACGCCACCTGCTGGTCCCTAACAATGTATACTTCAAGGGCCAGCAGGTGGCGTGGTGGTTAAGGGCACTGGGATTCTCACATGGCCAATAACGGATCAAGTCCCAGATCTGGCGGCTTGCTTTCTCACTGTCTCTCTCTCTCTCATTCTGTCTCTCTCTGTTCAAATTAAAAAATAAGTAAATAGGAGCCAGCAGATGGTATGGTGGTTAACGGCAATATAAAACATAATGATATATATAAAACATATGTTATATATACACAAATGACCAATATGTACATAAAAAGATGCTTAATATCATTAGCCATCTAATAAATATTTATAATCAAAATCACAATAAGATGCCATTTTAGGATGACTATAATAAAAAAAGAGAATAATAAACAATATCATTGAAGATATGGAGAAATAGGAACCTTCCTACATGCTGATGCAAATGTAAAATGGTGCAGTCACCTTGGCAATCTTTCAACAGGTTAAACATATATTGAGTTGTTGGGAAAGTCATGATGCATTTTTGCGTAGAAAAATATGACATGACTTTCCCGAAAACATAATAGTTACCATATGACTAAGCCCCTAGGTATATACCCAATTCTGCTCCGCAATCTATACCCAAGAACTGTGAAAGCATATATTCACATAAAAAACTTGTATACAAATGTTAGTAATAACATTAATCGTAATAGACAAAAATTAGAAATAAGCCAAATGTCCAGTAACTAGTGAATGGATAAATAAAATGTACTGAATAATATAAAAAACAATAAAAAGGAAAGCAATACAACATGGAAAAACCTTGAAACATGATCTTAAGTCAAAGAAGCCAGTCTTGGGACTAGCAGTTGGCATAATGGCTATGTCGCTGGACTCTCATATAGTCGACCGTGGTTCGAGTTCCGGAATCAGTGGCTTAAACTCATGCCGGGTGCATGTTCGTGCGCACCCAAGATCCCGAGAGGAAAATGGAGAAGGGATTGCGGCGAGGCCATCCCTCCACTGCTTTCTATCTCTCTATCTCTGTCTTTCTGGTGAGCGCATATGCCCTATAGCAAAAACCTCTTAAAAAAAAAAAAAAAAGAAAGAAAAGCAGCAACCAGTCACAAAAGAACACATACTGTTTCCTTCCATTCATATAAAATGTCCAAAATAGGTAAATGTATAGACACAGAAAGTATATTAATGGCCTTCTAAGGCTAGGTGGATAGGTTGAGAGAGAATGGGGAATAACTCCTAATTGGCCTACAGTTTCTTTTTGGAGTGACAAAAAGATTCTATAATTAAATATTGATTTTATACAACTTTGAATATACTATTAAAAAATTATTGAAAGAAAAGAAGGCATTCAAGAGGTAACGGTAAACAGGGTATTTCCAAAAAGGGGGAAAGCATGCACAGCAATATTGGGTAACTGATTGAGATTAATCTGTATAAAGGTAACTTTATACACTTTGTACACTTTAAAAAGATGAATTGTGGGGCCCGCAAAGGTGTGGTGGTTAAGGCACTAGATTCCTACATGGCTGACCACAGTTTAAGTCCCCAGCCTGATGGCTTGAAAAATCACACCAAGCCCAAAAAACCCCCCAAAAACAAAATCAAAACATTAGAAGGGACCAGCAGTTAGCGTAATGGGCTATGTCGCTGGACTCCCACATAGTTGACCACAGTTCGAGTCCCAGACCCGGCGACTTAAACTCACACCGGGCGCATGTGCATGCATGCCCAAGAGGAGAATGGAGGAGAAGGAATTGAGGCGTGGCCATCCCCCATGGGGGGTGATTTCTCACTTTCTATCTCTCTGTCTCTCTCTGTCTTTCAGGCGAGCTATAGCTAAAAAAAAAAACCTCTCAAAAAAACAAACAAGCAAACAAACAAAACAAAACTCACACCAAGGATGGGTGCATCCATGCCCAAAATCCCAAGAAGAGAATGGAAAAGAAGGGACTATGGTATGGTCATCCCTCAAGACAGATTTCTTCCCCTCTCTCTGTCTCTTTCCAGCAAGCACATATGCCCTATGGCAAAAACTTAAACAAAAAAGACAAATTGTATGCTGTGTGAATTATATCTCAATAAAACTGCCAAAAAAGGAATTTGGGGATAAAATCAAGAAAGAGCATGTCATATTGTTGGAAGTCATAATATAATAATTAATGAGTAACAATGTATCTGTCTTTCCTACTGGAAATCCATCCACCATTCCTGGCTTGAACAAATTATACTCCCAGCTCTTGATAAAATTTACAGGTTAATCTAATACGCTATTGAAAGTTCAAACTGAGAGCTCATGTAAAAATGGGAAACATGCTCAGAAAATAGTGGTAAATAGTTTCCTTAGTTTTATAATAGATTATGGAGTCTGCAAACTATAATTCAATGATTTTAAAAGAAGATTCTAGACTCTAAATTGGCCTCCTGCCATCAGCCTTCTCCCTTTCAATCCATTTCTCTTCATTGCCAAGTGATTTTTAAACACAAATCTGGCAACACTCTCCTGGTTAAAACCTCTGATGGCTGCAAACTGGGTAACTTGGTAAGACCTTCCAGGATATACTCTTTATACAGATTCATCTCAATCAGTTACCCAACATGCCTGGGTATGCTTTCCCCTTTGCTAGAAATACTGTTTCCCTTTGCCTCTTGAATGCCTCCTTTTCTCTCAAGGTCCAGTTCAAAAGTCATCTCTTTTTATAACTTTCCTTGATAGTCTTAACAAGTTTGACTTGTTCATATTTACTCTATTTTCCTGTAGGTAAAAAACAAGTTGTAGCATCAACTATAGACTGAATAAAAGTCTGTTGAATAGAATTATTTGGTTGCAGTCAGCTCAATCCTGGTGGTTAAAGCAGCTGGATCCTACATGGCCTACTCTGCAGTTTCAAATCCCATACTGGCTACTTGAGGAACACCGTAAGTGCGCTTTAGCTGGGGTCCAAATTCCCAACAGGAGAAACGGAAGAGAAGGGGACTGCAGGTGACCAATACTAATAGGGAAGGAGAGGTTCTTTCGCCCCCTCCCTAGCTCTTCCACAAGCACATAAGCCCTCTGGTAAAAATTTTAAATTATTAGAAATTCTTTTTAAGAGAGATTTTTGTAATGGGGCATGAGTGCTTGCCAGAGAGACAAAGAGAAACAGTGAGAGGTAAAGTGACAAATCATCCTCCCCACCCCCAGGGTGAGAGGGATGGCTATGCAACAATCCCTTCTCTATTGTCCTCTTAGGATTTGGGGCACTCTCACACATATGTCTAGCCTGAGTTTGATCCATTGCTCTGGCACTTGAACTGCGGTTGGCCCTGTGGAAGTCTAGCACCTTCCCTTGACCTCTGGCCCCAGAATTATTATTACTATTATTATTGTGAAGACTTCCTGGGGCTGAGGACAGACCTGAGCGGGTACTTTGCTTCAGTAGGCCCTTTTATTTTTATGAACCTGGCTCCTCCCAAGTAACACATTCTCCTCAGAGTTGGCCAGACCAACAGCCGAGTCTGGCTGGCCAGGAGGAACAGCTCACCGGCTGCCTACGAAGTGCTCCCCTTCGTAGCAGCGTGATTGACGGAGGGCCAGTGGGCCAGCTCGGCAAGGTTCACAACACAGGATATGCTGGCTGGATAGGACTAAGAGACTAACCGAGGATAGCAACGGGTCCCAAACGACTGTCCAACCGACTTAAGGCAGACAGAAACGATGGTGGGGCCTGTCCTCTTCGAAGAGCGGCAAAAAGCTGTGGAGACGCCACGCACATGCTTCTCGCCTCTGCTCACGCGGAGGACGACGGGAACAGGGTTGGCCCAGGCGAAACACGCCAATCGCGGATGCGCATGCGTGGCAGCTCCATTTCCCCGCCCCTCATGCAGCTCTGTCCTCTAGGCCCGCGCGAGCTTCGCCAAATGCGCGTGCGCAGCAACCCTGTTTCCCCGCCCCTCACGCGGTTCTTCCCTCTTACCCTAGAGCCTCCGAAGTGCCCATGTGCGCGCGCGCGAGCTCGCCCTCGTGGTCACGTGGCCCCCCAGCTCCCGGCGTTCATCGCTACAGATCTCCTACTGCCACCTCCCAGAACCCGTCGTTATGGCTGCTGCCGTGTCCCGCGTCGCTTCTCTCTCCCAACTGCTTCCCCTTTTTCTGGGCCTCTTGCTCCTCTCTGCTCCACGTAGCGGCAGCGGCCTGCATACTAAGGGCGCCCTCCCCCTGGATACAGTCACTTTCTACAAGGTAACGGGGTGAGGGACATCGCGCGCAGTTGTAGCAGGGGTGCCCGAGGGAGCATGGACCCGTGGGGTACTCTAGGCGCGGAGGGGTAGCAGGAGATGGTCTGTAGTAACGATCTCCTGTCTTTCCGCCATTTTCCAGGCCTGGTGGGCTCTGGGCCGATGGTGCATCATGACTACAGGACATAAACACTCCAGGGTCCCGGTGTCCCCTGGCCTTCGCAGCCTTTATACATGCTGCCTTTTTTTTTTTTTTTTTTTTTTTTTTTTGTGTATAACCCACACAAGAGAACCCACCCAGGGAGTTGCCTCCCCCTCCGCTTCACCGGGGGCGGGGGGGGGAGAGGGCGGTGCCGGGTGAGATCCAATCCTCGAGCACCATGTGGGATATCAGGAGGGCGGGGCGAAGTCTAGCAACAGGGCTCCTGGCGCTGGTAAAGGTGTGTGGAACTCGTCGCGAAACCACGAGTTCCCTAAGAATGGATTGTAGCCTGCTTTGCAGTATGCAGACAACGTTAAGAGGTCATGCATCTTGTGAAGTGCAGCCATTCGGAATAAGCTTGGTTCAGATACCCTGAAGAGAATATAATAGGGTCAGAGCATGGAAGAATTTGTTACTCTTAAATTTTACAGCATTTGGGATCAGGTCCTGGGTAAATAGACAATTGATATGTCAAAACTGAATGTAACACGGTAGTCCCAGGACCCTGTCCCCACACCATGTCTTCATCCAGTAGCAGCTTTTTACTTCCCCCAGGAGATGAATAATCTAAGTATTAAGAGAGCCAGTAGTTTAATTTTTGTACCCATTTCCAGGAAGTGAAACCAAGAAGTGGAGCTCTAAATGTATCTCAAGTGGTCGAATGCTTTCTATTTTTGAAAGAGTTCTTAGTCATGGCCCTGACACTTGTAGCTCTTTTCAGAATTTAAAAATATAGGTGTAGCTGATTGGTTGTCAGGCACACCCCCTAAAGCACCCGTGCTTTTTGGGTCTTCAGTGGCATAGTGATCCTCCTCTACCCCACCCTGTTCCATGGGAATCAAATAATATCACAGACCAAGTATGATTCAAAGGGTGCACCTAATCAATTGATACCTGTTCATCTTTCCTGATAGAATCCTGGTCTAGACTGTCATTTACAACAGCCTCCTATTTTCACTTTTTTTTTTTTTTCTCCTTTTCCTGCTATTGGACGCATGTGCTTGCCAGAGAGAGAGAAAGTGAGAAATCACCCCTAAGAGGATGGACACGCTGCAGTCCCTTCTCTCCCATTAACTTCTGGGGGTTTGGAGCATGCTCGCACAGGCAGCAGGCAGGATTCTCAAGCTGCTGGGGCTGGGACTCAAACCACACAGGTGGCTATCCTGCTTCCTTAACCTCCACACTATCTGCTGACCCCTTATTTTCACTCTTGAGCCTCTATCTGGTAGCCTAAGTCTGACATATTCCTACCCTGCATACCTTTACTCTCATCTCCTAATCATTCTCTTATCCCTCTTCTGTAGTCTTGTCTTGTCTGTCTGTCTGTCTGTCTTTCTTTCCTTTGAATATTCCCAGCTCATTACTGACTTACTGTTTGCTGTTCCTATTCCTTGTGATTGAAACATTTTTTGAAAGGCTGGTTACTTATCATCAGGCTTAGTTTCAGTGTTATCTCTTCACAGTTCTTCCTTGATTTCCCCCACCCTCAAGACTGAAGTGCCAGTCACATTATACACTGTTTTATTTTTCTGTAGAGCACTCATTACTGATTTTTTAATCTGTCTTTCATGCTAGAATATTACATGCTTATGGAGAAGTAACTTGTCTGTTTCGTTCTTGATAACCTGCACAACATAGGAGGTTACCTTTCTCAAATGAATGAACACATTTTTTATTTTTTAAGATTTTTGCCATATGGTGCATGTGCTCACTGGAGAGACAGTGAGAAGGAAAGTGAGAAATCACCTGTAATCCCTTCTCTTCCATTCTCCTCTTGGGATTTTGGACTTAAACGCATATGCGCCTAGTGTGATTTTCAAGTGGCCAGGTCCAGTACTTGAACTGCGGTCAACCATTTGAGTCCAGCAACTTAACCCACATTCCACCCTCTGGCCCCAAATGTTTTCTCCAGTTTCTTTCCAAATCTTATTTCCTTCCCCATCACATTGAATAAAAGGGGAACTTCTTAGCATTGTGTCATGCTTTGCCTTTAAACGATTTCCAGCATCTTTTTGTTTCTAGAATGTTAGTTCCAAGTTGTAAGAGGTCTTGTCTGTTTCATCACTCATATGATCATTTTGAATGATCCTTGGTACCTTAAAAACTACTATTTGAAGCCAGCAGATGGTGCATTGGTTAGTTGCTGGACTCCCACATGGCCGATGGAGTTTGGGTCCTGGACCTGGTGGCTTGAAAATCACACTGAGTATATATGTGTGCATGCCCAAGATCCCAGGAGGAGAATGGAGGAAAAGTGATTGCGTGTGGCCATCCCCCCAGTGGGGTGATTTCTTACTTTCCCTCTCATTGCCTCTATCTCTCTCTTTCTCCAGCAAGTGCACACACCTTATGGCAAAAACCTCTTTATAAAAAAAAAAGAGGGACAGGTAGATGCCGTAATGGTTATGTCTCTGAACTCACACATAGTCGACCATAGTTGGAGTCCTGAACCTGGTGGCTTAAAACTCATGCTGGGTGCGTATGCATGCGTGCTCAAAATTCTGAGAGGAGAATGGAGGGGAAGGTATTATGGCGTGGCCATCTTCCCTGGTCGTGTGGTGGGGGTGGTGGGGGTGGTGTGATTTCTTGCTTTCTGTCTCTGTGTCTCTGGCAAGCACATGTGCCCTATAGCAAAAACTTATCGTTATAAAAAAAATTCTTCCTTGGCTAGTAACTAATGTAAAAGATAGAGGTCTTTCCATTCTGTCTCCATGTTAAATTATTGTATGATTATTCATATTATTCTATAACACAAGTGTAGGCCTCTTAAAGATACGATTCCTGTGTTATGCTTCTTAAGTGTTTTTTTTTCCCCTGGACATGTGGCATCTGCTGCCAAAGTCTGCTGGAATTTTGTTTATTCATCAGTTATTTTCAGAGCATCTGCCATGTGTTAGGTACTACTGGGCACTAAAGATATAGCACAAAATAGGGCAAAGTCCTTATTTTCATAAATGTAAATACTACTGGAGAGAACAGAAAACAAACAAAAAAATAAGGATTTTAGAGAGTTATTGATGCAGTAAGAAAACACAGCAAGGTAATATGCTAGGAGTGTGATGGAAATGAAGCAGTATTAAATGGTCTGTTTGGAGGAAGCCTTTCTATTAGGAGTAGACATCTGAACTGAGCCTTGAATGATAACAAGCAGCTGGTAAGAACAGAAAAGGGGGACCAGCTGTTAGTGTAATGGCTATGTCGCTGAACTCCCATGTAGCTGACTGTGGTTTGAGTCCTGGACCCAGTGGCTTAAGCTCACACTGGATGCATGTGTATGCGTGCCCAAAAAACCAGAAAGGGCATTCTTGCTAGCCAAGAGCAAAGTAGGAAGATCCTCAGGGAGAATAAGCTCAGTATATTGAACTGTATGTAATAAGGCCAGTTGGGCCAGAGGGATGTGATCTGATTTATATTTTAAGTCTTCCCGGCTTTTAATCCCCCAGAGCTCAGACTTTTGGGGCAGCAGTGACCCCTTAAAGGTGACCTGTTCTGGTGGCTTCTCTTTCCTTTTGTCCCTTGGCATTGTGTTAAAATATTTTCAAGACCTAAAGCCAAGTGTATGTCAAAACACAGTGAGGGGCAAGGACTAACAAAAACATTCTTTGTCTTCATCTGGAATTATGTCAGCTTGACATAATTATTGACGATGATTGCATATGTTGAAAAAACCATGGTGGCCATCAGTTGGATGAGAAAAAACAAAAAGATGTGGGAGGAGGGGAAGGCAGTATTAGCGACCAAAGGCAGCTTGTGAGATCAGATGTGCACATTGGGAGAAACCACGAAAAGGAAATTCTTGGATTCCTCAACCGGTTAAACATATATTTATCATATGACCCCCACAGTTCCACTGCTGGGCATATATCCAAAAGAACTGAATACAGATATTCAAACAAAAATTTGTATCCGAATGTTCGTACAAGCATTCCCAATAGGCAAAAGGTGACAACAGCCCTAATGGCCTTAGATGAAAGGAAAGCAAAATGTGATCTACCATATAGTGGAATATTTGTCCATAAAAAGAAATGAAGCATTGATAACATGCTACAACATGGATGAGTGTTGAAAACATGCTAAGTGAAAGAAGCCAGATACAAAAAGTCACGTATTTTTTAAGATTTAATTTTATAAATTATTGATTATTATTTTAATTCACCACAGGGGCGGGGGTGAGAAAGCAAGCCACCAAGTTCAGGACTCAAACCGTAGTTGACCAGGTGAGAGTGCAGCACCTTAACCACCATGCCACCTGCTGGTCCCAAGGCCACATATTACAGGTGTCCATCAGAATAGACAAATCCAGAGACAAAAAGATTAGTGCTTGCTGGGGCAGGAAGAAGATGGACTGGAGAGTAACCACTTGTTTGTTTTATTTTTTTTTGAGAGGTTTTCGCTACAGGACGCGTGCGCTCGCCAGACAGACAGAAAGCGAGAAATCATCCCCCGGGGGGATGGCCACGCTGCAATCCTTTCTCCTCCTTCTCCATTCTCCTCTCAGGATCTTGGGCACGCACGCACACATGCCTGGCGTGAATTTTAAGCCACCGGGTCTGGGATGTGAACCGTCGTCAACTACGTAGGAGTCTAGCGACATAGCCATTACGCTAACTGCTGGTCCCCAGAGTAACCACTTAATAGGGTTTCTTTTTAGGGTGATGAAAATGTTCTAGAACTATTATAGATAGTAGTGATAGTTGCATTAACATTGTTAATGCACTGAAGCGTGCACTTTAAATGGGTACAATGCTGAATTTAGTTATGTGAATTTTATGAAAAATCAGTTTGGCGGCCTAGCTATGGAGGTGCACCAATAACACAGCCACATGACTGGCTCAGGTTTGGTTGCTGGGCCAGCCAACCTAAACATGCCAGGTGTGACTGCACACACCTGAGATCCTAGCTGACTGAGAGGCTGGGGCAGGAGACCCTATCAAAAATGCCCATTTCTGTCTCTCTACTTTTCTCTTTCTCTCTCTCAAAAAGGAAAAAACAAAAGTCTTGTCCCTGGCAGTTTAGGACTTAGAGGTCTAGCCAAAAGGAACTGTGGTCTAGGTTGAAGACAGTCCCAAGCCTAGCTGCTTACCAATTTCTTATCAATCCTGAAATTGCTGAATTCAGACTTTCTAGCCAATTCTGTGATACCAACTACTTGGTAGAAAGTTTTGTTATTGTCAGATTTGTTGTTGTTTACTGAGAGAGTCTTCCTGGGATGATGAGCATGATGTGAGTTTGAGTAGGGGGGAGTTACAGATGGAGTATGCCAAGAGTTTCCTTAGCCTTATTGGAAGGACCCTGGAGAAGGCCTTTCGTATTTAGTGTTTGTTCTCGATAGGGTTGTATATGTCTTTGACTAATGGGTTTATTCTAGATAGGGTTTTATGTCTTTGACTAATATGAATAAGTACCTGATGGGGTACCCAGCACTACGCAGGCACTCAGTAATTGTTAAATCAATCAATGGGTGAATGAATGAATATTAGTTTGTGAGAGCTTTTCTCCCTTGTGGGCTTGTTGCCATTCTGTTTCTTAAACAGGGGCCCCCTGGGAAGGGGAATTTACCTTAAAGGTCCCTGAACACCCCATTTGCTCAGCTCTATACGCCCTCAGGTCATTCCCAAAAGCAAGTTCGTCTTGGTGAAGTTCGACACCCAGTACCCCTACGGTGAGAAGCAGGATGAGTTCAAGCGTCTGGCTGAAAACTCGGCCTCCAGCGATGATCTCTTGGTGGCAGAGGTGGGGATCTCAGGTATGGACAAGTCCAGGAGGGCTGGGGAGGGCAAAGGGGGAGAAAGGTAGGGATTATTTCCCTACTTAGAGGGACAGTACTGAGTGTCTCCATCAGAGCAAGGAGTCTAAATGGTTCGTGGCCTCTTAAGGAATCTGTTGCCCATAGTAAGCTTAGCCTAGGCAGATTCTGGGACCATGGAACCTCAGCTCAGCTTTGCATGGGCCTGAAGGGGAGGGAACC